CGGATGGCCTGCTACTAAAATTCATTTGCCTAAAGAACTAACTCCGTATTGTAGTTTTAGTGACGAACTTACTATAGAGAATGGTATTATTTTTAAAGGTAACTGTGTGCTCATACCTATATCATTACGCGCTGAATTTAAGAAACATTCACACGCTGCACATATTGGTGTAGAAGGATGTTTAAGAAGAGCTCGTGAATGTATGTTTTGGCCTGGTATGTCATCTGATATCAAACAACTTGTATCTGCCTGTGAAACCTGTCACAACTACGAAATATCAAACCAAAAGGAAACTTTGATTAGTCATGAGGTACCAAAGCGTCCGTGGCAAAAAGTTGGTGTTGATCTATTCGAACTGGATAATAAACAATACTTAGTGACTACTGATTACTATAGTAACTTCTTTGAGGTTGATCACCTTTATGATACGAAAATTGGAAGTGTTGTTAATAAACTGAAATCTCATTTTGCTAGGTATGGTATCCCTTGCCAACTAATTTCTGATAATGGACCTCAGTTTTCGTCATTCGAATTTCATCATTTTGCTGAAATCTGGGACTTTGAACATATTACTAGTAGTCCGTATAACAGTCAGTCTAACGGAAAAGCCGAAAGTTCTGTCAAAACTGCGAAACGCCTATTACGTAAAGCTAAAGACACTCATGCTGAATATATAGCTTTATCAGATTTCCGTAATACGCCTACTCAAGGATTGACAACAAGTCCAGCACAACGGTTAATGAATCGACGTACTCGCTCTTTGTTGCCTGTCAAGTCATCACTCCTTGAACCTCGTAATATTAATCCTAAACTGGATCGTGCTGAACTTCAACGTCAGAAGGATAAACAATCTGCCGATTATAATCGCTCAAGGAAAGATTTACCTTTACTGAAAGCTGGAGACGTTGTACGTATTAAACCTTTTAAACTTGGTGATAAAATTTGGAAAAAAGGGGAGGTAATACGTAGACTCAATAAACGCTCTTATCTGATTAGAACTGATGAAGGTACTTTCAGACGCAATCGTAAATTCCTACGTCAAACTGCTGAACAATCTGATTTATTTGTTCCTTATCCTCCGGATGAAGCTGCTGAAAACAACGCAGAAGTATAACATAATCTTCCTGATCAACAAGATGCTGTACAACCTGATGTCGTAGATGATCAACCAGAAGTCAATATACCAGTTCTACAACCTGCTGTTCATGATCGAAATAATATGAGAGACAATATAGTCACACGTTCTGGACGTCTATCACGGAAACCCAAATATCTTAAGGATTATGTTACATAGTCTTACAAAAATGTGTTTTCTTGTATAGTGACTGTGTTTCTTGTATTATGTGAAATTTTATTATCTACGCATAAGTCTGTGTTTCAAAATGTTACGTTTATACTGTGTACTTTATTATTAGGTCAGATTCTGTGTGAAGGACTTAGCTCTTTCTGAAAAGAGAAAGGATGTAACAATATTGACCTAATAAGCCTCTTGACAATATTGTGGTGCATCGCCGGTGCTGAGCATCAGATTATGTAGTTTATATTGTCCAATCGTCTGTGCTTATCTTACTAATGGCTCATCATTAAAGTTTATGTTTATTTTACTCTGCGTGTACGCTGCTCTAACCCGCCCCAAATCATAATTTAACAGTAGGCCTACCAGAGCTCTTCTACTATTCTTTGAAGGGGAACTGTCTGCAACCAACTCAAAATTCGTCTAATTACTTCGATAAACCCTTTATCACTGTGTCCACGACATCGCCAAATTCTACAAGTTTAGCGTGAAACCATTTTTGTCAAGCTTGGAGAAAATCGCCTCTGAAGATTTACCGTGCTTCACTAAAGAAATCTCTGGATTCAGAAAGGGTGGCAGCACTACAAGGTAGGAACTTGAAATTTAACACAGAATATCTTCAAATAACCTTTGAGTTAATGCCTGGGCCCACCTTCAGTGCAAATTGTAACCTGACATATCTCTGCTGCCTGTTAATGTTTTTATCTTGACCCCAATCTGTGAAGCTAGACTAAAAGGCTGAGCTCAGACATATACTTACCAGTTTAAATGGTAATAACTTTTCTTTCGAGGTATGCAAGAAGACATCACCATGGGTTCACATAGGTCTAGTTAAGATTAAGATTCTATTGAATACTTATTTAAAAGGGCATGGGAAACAGCTTCTTACAAAAGGTTAAATATAAAAAGAAGACGATTTCCGAGGTTTTTGATTCGCGATCGACGATTTATTGAATTTCCATATACACAATAGGGTGTACTACTACTAAGTGTATAATATACTCCATTCAAACAACGACCAATGTTCGTATTGTACATCTGAATAAAACGCGCTCATAAAATACTTGGCCCTTTTGGTTCATGTAACGAATTAGCGTATCTTAGCGTCTCAAATGGATTTTGGAATAGTTTACCATTTAATTTATCTTTTAGCTTTCACATCAGGTAAGCTTGCTGTCAATTTTTTTCGTTTTTTAGTTTTTGTAATATTTTCGAGTAATTTATGTAATGGACAGTGTTGAATATTTGTTTTGTAACCCGAGTCAAAACCCTGTAATCTTCTAATTTTTGTTTTCTTTATGTTCCAATAGCATCTTGTCCTAGTGGTTCAAAATTCTATCAAGCTCGGGGATTATGTTTTAAATTGTTTACCGTTTCCAAGAACTATACCGAAGCGGACATAGCCTGTAAGGATAAAGGTGGCATATTAGCAAGAATCAAAGATGGTGCCATTCAGAACTTCACAGAGGACAAATATGCCGGGTAAGATTTCTGTATCCTTAAAGTGAATGAAGTCCAGAAGCTAAACCATGGGGACTGGTTGAACCAAGTTTACGGGGCCCACCACTAAGGGAGCCCGACCCCAAAAAGCAAAAAAAAAAATATATTGTACAATTATAATCGAACTAAGCAACCTAATATATATAATGGGTGAAATAGTATTAACTACAGACTAAAAATAGATATTAACTTATAGAGGGATCTCAAAATGTAGGAGAGCATTTGTTAAAAATGAAATTCCCGGGGGAGGGGCCCCTACTCATTGAAGTCCACTGGCCTCTATACTCATCTTAATTAGCCGCTAATGGAGTGATCTAATTATTCGCTTTATAGTGCGTTGAAATGATGTTGACCACTTGTATCACTCTTATGCAAATTGGTTATATTATTTCGACGGGCCCGCATTCAATTAAACGAAGACAGTGAGATAAATGGCGATGGTTAAATGCAACTCAACATCGTAAATGTTAAATGCCATTCTTCTGAGAAAAATATTTAACGATTCAAATTAGATGCAAATATGTATGGTTGGGGTATTTACAACATATACACTGACAATGAATTGGAAACGGTTTCATATTGATAGTTATATAAAAACTGTCTCTTTCACATGAAAGAAATTGCTTGAAATGACAAAATTCATAACTGCTTTTGTTTTGAGAACCTGCATTTTTTGCATCCGATCTTAGGTGTGAACTGCTCTTAAAGTTTTCTCTAAGGTGTCTCGAAATAAACAATTTAATCAATTTCTTTTTAAAGTAGATTATAACAGCTTATCATTATAATGCTGTTTTCAATATTTGATGAATGAGTTTATCAGGTGTTAATCAAAATATTAATGGATCTATTGAACATTTTCTTTAGAGGGTTATTACACATTCTTATACACTAATAATATTGTTTTAATGTCCGATTCTGGAGGCAAATATTTGAACAAGCAGTGGCGTTAATTGAATAATTGATTTTATCTTATATGACTTCTTGGCCGATTCATGTTGAACCTTGGCATCTTGAGTAAATATGCAAGATTCTTGAATAAAAGTGTTACCATCGGTATTTCTTAAATCTCAGTTAATGTTTTCAGACTCGTAAAATGTAAGTCTCAGATAGAGTCGTTTCAACTGGTCATATTTAAGTTGGTTTTGTCCGAGTCTCAGTTAAAGTTGACCAAACTGGCAAAATGTAAGCCTCAGATATAGTTGTTCAAATTATTAATATCCATGACTCAGATAGTTTTTTTAAGTTAAAAATGGGATGGTGCAAATTGATGCTCTGTGTCCCCGATACACTTACAGGTACAGATTCGCCATCCGTTTGACCATTCGTACCTTTGTCTTAGAAACGGGAATGTTTTTTAGCTAAGCTTATAAGTAGGCCTTAGTAGTGTTCATAGCGCACTTATCGCACACTTATCGAAATTAGAGCCTATAAAAATATATGTGTGTCCGGAATTATCCGCGTTTGAAAGTTAAAATGACGACTCGTCTTTTCTTGAGACTACCACTTACATAGAAGATACATTAAATTTAGAAATAGAAAGTGAAATTTCTAGTTTTAAGTATAAGTTTTGAAAGGTGTATTCGACTTTAGTACATTTTTAGTATTTCTGAAGCCTATTTAAATGTACGCATATTCAAGACCAAAATCAGCCCACAAAAATGCCGACTGTTCCCATTTAAAAAAAAGTAGAAAACCTCTTTATAATCCATTAAAGTTGTTCAATTTGGTAATAATTAAGTCTCAGCTAAAGAATTTTTTTTTTAACTAAGCCATCAGTAATAGTGTTCAAAAGTGTTCTAAAGACTAGCTACATATACTGAAAAATCAAATCACCCTCCAAAATGGCGAACTGTCCCATTAAACTGGTAATATCAGAGTCTTTGAAAACGGGTAATTCTCCTCTATTTAACTTTGTAGAAAATATTTTTGGATTGGTTTGGAAGATGATGATAACGATGGGGTGTACATGTGGGCTGATAACTCCTCAGCAATGTACAATAATTGGCAAACTACACCACCCAGTGGTCGTTGTGCAAGATACACGAAGAGTGGTCTTTGGATAGCTGAATTGTGTTCGGAAATATTGTGGTTCTTATGTGAACTGCCTAAGGGTAAGTGACACAAATGATGCCTAAATTGTAGGAACGCGCTTTATCTTAATTGTTAACCTAAGATGAACTTTGCAATCTGTTTATCAGACATGATATACATCATTCGAATTAGCATTACTGCAATATTAAATAACTATAATAATATACTATCACTGCAATATTTTATCACTGCAATATTTTATCAATGCAATATACTATCACTGCAATAAACTGTTATCACACTCATTGCCTGTCAAAACGGTACGACAATAAAATATTGATTTAAAAAATATTTATTTTCCATCAGCTATAATATCAATAACAATACGTAGTATAACTGGATTCAAAAACAAGAAAACGCTTATTAAAATATTACTAGGATCTACAAGCGTTGAACAGAAAATTTATTTTTAAGAAATTTTGAGTTTTAAAATGTGCAAAAACAAACATATTCAACGGCTTAAATTTTTTTTAAAATGACATCAATATCGTTAGTTGGAATTTCTTTTATCTTTTAATAGCTATTGTTAGCTATTGCATTTTTTTTCTATTTTAGTTCAGGACCCAACAAATGGAATTTTCTACCATCGATTAATAACCACAGATCTCATTGATTCGTCAGCATTTAAATCTTTCTCGGTCCAAAACTACATAAAATGTGTTCAGTTATGTCGCCTTTATCATGAGCTTTGCTTTAAAATCAGCTTTAACAAGACACAAATCCATAGCGATCAATGTGTTTTGTACACTACACATTATGGCTCATCGATAAATGTTGATTCATCGGTGTTGATATATTCTTTATTGTGATTGTTAAGTGTAAATCAATCAACCAATCAAACTTCTATGCCAGTTAGTGGATTTCATCTCAAAGAATAAGTTGGATGATCAGTTTGGTCAATAACAAAATATAACTTTTTTTAATCAAGATTTGTGATGTTATATGTATCCAATAATGAATCACGATGCATATAATATCGGCTGTGGTTCAACCACCACAGAGTCCACGACCTTTCCACCCTAAAGGGACCCCCACCCTAGAAAAAAAATAGGAAAGCATTTGTTAAAAAAAAATCCCGGGGGAAGAGCCCCGAACCACTAAAGTCCACGATTTTTGAGTTCAGCCACTGACAACAACAGCTATATTTTGATTATGGCTCGACATGTCCACACTATAGGCTTACCATTACAAGCTTTGTTTTAATAAACTATGTTATGTCACACTTTGTCATTACCTGCGATATAATATTACTGCTATATACTATCACTGCGATATTTAATGTCACTGCGATGAAATGTTACTGCAATATGCTATCACTGCCCCCTCTGTCCCCCTTTGGCTGCGCCACTGGTTACTACAATATACTAACACTGCGATATAATGTTACTGCAATATGCTAAGACTGCGATTTAATGTTACTGCAATTTACTATCACTGAGATATAATGTCACTACAATATACTATCACTGCGATATAATGTTACTACAATATACTATCACTGTGATATATTGTTACTACAATATACTATCACTATGATATAATGTTACTACAATATACTATCACTGAGATATAATGTTACTACAATATACTATCACTGTGATATATTGTTACTACAATATACTATCACTATGATATAATGTTACTACAATATACTATCACTGTGATATAATGTTACTACAATATACTATCACTGCGATATAATGTTACTACAATATACTATCACTGTGATATAATGTTACTACAATATACTATCACTATGATATAATGTTACTACAATATACTATCACTGTGATATATTGTTACTACAATATACTATCACAGTGATATAATGTTACTACAATATACTATCACAGTGATATAATGTTACTACAATATACTATCACTGTGATATATTGTTACTACAATATACTATCACTATGATATAATGTTACTACAATATACTATCACTGTGATATAATGTTACTACAATATACTATCACTGTGATATAATGTTACTACAATATACTATCACTGTGATATAATGTTACTACAATATACTATCACTGTGATATAATGTTACTACAATATACTATCACTGAGATATAATGTCACTACAATATACTATCACTGCGATATGTTGTTACTACAATATACTATCACTATGATATAATGTTACTACAATATACTATCACTGTGATATAATGTTACTACAATATACTATCACTGTGATATAATGTTACTACAATATACTATCACTGTGATATAATGCTACTACAGTATACTATCACTGTGATATAATGTTACTACAATATACTATCACTGCGATATATTGTTACTACAATATACTATCACTGAGATATAATGTCACTACAATATACTATCACTGTGATATAATGTTACTACAATATACTATCACTGTGATATAATGTTACTACAATATACTATCACTGTGATATAATGTTACTACAATATACTATCACTGTGATATAATGTTACTACAATATACTATCACTGTGGAATAATGTTACTACAATTTACTATCACTGTGATATAATGTTACTACAATATACTATCACTGTGATATAATGATACTACAATTTACTATCACTGTGATATAATGTTACTACAATATACTATCACTGTGATATAATGTTACTACAATATACTATCACTGTGATATAATGTTACTACAATATACTATCACTGTGATATAATGTTACTACAATATACTATCACTGTGATATAATGTCACTGCAATATGCATTCGTTGCGATCAAGTGTTACTGCAATACGCTATCGCTGCGATCAAATGTTACCGCAATATTCTATCGCTGCGATAAAATGTTACTGCAATATTCTATCGCTGCGATAAAATGTTACTGCAATATGCTATCATTGCGATAAAATGTTACTGCAATATGCTATCATTGCGATAAAATGTTACTGCAATATGCTATCATTGCGATAAAATGTTACTGCAATATGCTATCATTGCGATAAAATGTTCTGCAATATGCTATCACTGCAATATAATGTAACCGCAATATGCTTCCACTACGATAAAATGCCTATGCATTATTATGCTATCAATTCGATATGCAATTATCTCATGAACTAAAAAATTAATGCATTGAAGGACTATTCAAGTTAAAACAATATTTTTTGATTATTGTAAACGATATAGAAACACTGCCCTCAAGAGGATATTAGTTACAACACATGGAAAATTAATACAGATTTATGTTTTTAGCGACAATCTACATAATTAAGGAGTTTTTGTCATCTCTGCTTAGCAAAAAAAAAAAGAATTTTAATAACATTTGATTGTATCTATCACATTCGCTACAGTTTACGTTAAGCAACCAATTGTTGACAAAATGTCTTTAAACTTTAATGCATATTTTCTACTGACAAAAACTTTGCTACCAACCAAAACTGTTTAAAATGCTTGCAACGAGATAAAACGAAATGAGTATGGGTACGCCCTAGTACGAAACATCTGCCTCTATTCCAGCCTCTGATAGTTATTTTGACAGTTTATCGTCATAAGTCATAATAACTAGGTCATGTTTTGCGGAAAATCCCACAACACAGAGTCTAGTTTTTCTGTCTCTACACCGACGACTTTCAAAATAGCTATCAAAGGCTAGAATAGAGGCAGATGTTTCGGTCTAAAGTACACCCATAACCTTAATTTGAAATTTCCACGTCTGACATCTAGCAATTCCTGAGAAACGTAACCAAATTATGACGTCACTATCATAATCAATTTAGAAAAAGATCCCAAAAATAGTACCGAAATGAAATAATTAGCGTCGTCATAATAAACAGTGTGTACTTTGATGCCGTACAAGTTATAGCTTGTTCTCACATAGTCTGAGTGTGCTCATATTAGATCAAAAGACTCATGATTGAAGATTTGTATGAATTATGTGAATATCCCCTTGTTCCCGAAGCTTTTATTTGGCCATTTCAAGGTTCAAATGAGTTTACTCAGTCGCAGTTATGAAATTTTTTCGATCGCCATATACAGGCAAGTCCGTAGATGTTTTTTTATTTAATCATTTTACGGCTTTATATTCTTGTCTTGTACACGAAGTGAGAGTGAGTGCGATGCAAGCTCCGCTTATACAAAGAAGAATGAGTTTATGACATGCTTTATTCGTTATAGTTATTTTAAATTACACAACGTGCACTTTCTATTTTTGACCATTGTCTACGACCTATAATATAAGAATTAATAATCTTTAAAAATTTAAGTACCATTTTACTGATTTAAATGATCTATTGTTCTGGTTTAAAGCAAAAATCTACAGAAACAGTTTCGAAGAAAATCAATTGCGATCTTATAGCGACTGAAAATGTACTAGGGCGCGGTCTAACGTGAATAAACTAAGCCACGCGTGTACTTCTCTTTTATACCACTCAAGGAGTTGTTACGCGTTTGAATCCCGATCTCGATCTCATGGTGTTCTCAACGCTTTCCAGAACAGATCGCCGTGACTCGGCGAATAGTGACGACAATGGCGACAATTTTATTGCACGATGTCTTGCGTGTCCTACGCTTATGGCGAACTTAACATGCTCTGGGCCAATTTTCCATCGCAGTACCGTTGCAGTAACCACACCGGTGTGACGTGGCCATTAATGTACAATTGATAATAGACAAACATCTTTCAAGGTACTCTTCAATAATATTTTTGGAAATTCATGAATAAGGCAACGACAAAATAAAATAGAAAAATAACACATAAAATATTAAAAAAAATCATACATATTTTGAACATAAAAAAAAACTTATACATAATACACATGGAAATGTGGACGTATATTGCCGTCGCCCCTGCCCGTCGCCCCTGCCCGTCGGTCGGTCGGTCGGTCGGTCGGTCGGTCGGTCCGTCCGTCCGTCCGTCCGTCCGTCCGTCCGTCCGTTCACATTTCTTTTATCAAATCTGAATGAAACTTGGTATGCATGTATATATTGATCAGATCTCGGTCTAGTTCGAAATTGGTAATTATCGAATGACCGGTTTCAGAGTTAGTGCCCTTGACTTAGTAAAAACGCGTTAAATTTGCCTTGTATGCATGATAAAGGCGAACAATTTTATTTGATCTTGATGAAAAAAAGCACGTATATTTTGATAAGATCTTGGTCAAGTTTGAATTTGGTCATAATCGGATGATTGGTTTCAGAGTTATTGCCCTTGACTTAGTAAAAACGCTTCAAATTTTGCTAGTCATGATACAGGGTGCAGTTTTTATCTGATCTCAATGAAACTTGGTATGCATGTATATATTGATGAGATCTCAAGTTCAAAAATGGTAATAATTGGATGAATGGTTTTGGAGTTATGCCCCTTGAATTAATTCAGTGCGTTTAGTAACAATCGGATGATTGGTTTCACATTTTAAACCACTACAGACTTCGTTATCATTTCTGACAGCTGGTAGTGGGCGTATGTTAACTTGCCTGGCAAGCTATTTTGTATATAATTGAACGATGACACATAATACACAAATTGTATACACGATAAACAGTTTGAATGATTCATATTATGAATAAATTAGGGTGACTTCACCTGTTATTACAGAATGAATAATACCCATATAGCATGACATCGGATAATCGACACCAAGGAGCAAGCCATATCGAGTGATCGTGTATCGATACTTCACGATGTCAGACTCATCAGACAAACAAGTAGCTAACATGTTTACATTTTCAAAGATATAGTGTTCAGCACAAACCTTACGGCGTTTCCATTCTTGTGTTTCGGATACAGAGTTGCCATTATGAAAATACATTGTAGAGAAATAACATAGGTTCTTATCCGGAGTCAGATTGGTAACTGTTTGTCGCCAGATGTCATCAACTGTCAAACATAAAATAATTTTGAAACGATTATATTTCAAAAATGTGCTTCCATAATATAATGTAATCGTACTTTCGATACGGCATTACGTCATATAGCCCCAGTCTTTTACACTACTTTGCAATAAAAGATTTGCCACATTGACGAATTCCTTCCCTTTCTATTTTTAAACAAAAATGCTTATAACTCCAGACAAGCAAGTCATTTCAAAAAGTGTAAATAAAGTCATAAATAACACAATAACATAATATTGCTTTACAATATGCAGATCTATGACTGCAAACTTTATAATATGCGTCATGTACATGACAATCGCTCTAAATGGACATTTTGGAATTGGAATATTTGACATTGGAATTTACCAGCGTGATTCCGTTTTATTTTTTCTGGCTGGAGGGTCGAGTCGACAGACAACCAGGAGCAGTAAAGTTAGATGTAAAACTTTTCATTTAAAAGTGACAAGTGACACATACCGAAAAGCCTGGCAAAAACTGTTTTCTCTTCAGTACTATCTACAGAGTAAGTAAAAGAAACACTTTTCACACCATCGTGGTCTTTAAAAAAAAGTCGAAAAAGAATATATTAAATTGGAATGTGTTGTTTTTTTACCATTATGTGTCATCTTAAAGAGATTATAAATAGGTTTTTAGAATTTTTTTTATGTGTATCGGGAACACCTATAGCATTGCACCATTCCAGTTTTCAATCAGACGTCTGTGGCTCCTGTTTAATGATGTTATTAATCGCGAAGGGCCTTATGTCTTAAAGCCATTTTTCCAATTGGTTACGTCATCAAACTTATTTTTTGGAATTGCGGGAACCACGAATGTCTGATTGAAAATTGGAATGGTGCAAATTGATGATATCAGTGTCCCGATACACATACATACAGAAAACCTCTTTACTATCCCTTTAAAGTTGCTCAACAAGAAAAACGAACAGAAGTATTTTCTCTCTTGAGATTCTTCATACTTGAAAATATTAAGCCTCTAATAATTCAGAGGTCTACCATTGGCATGATGTCACTTTCATCACAAGCAACGTGCTCTCATATGTGACTTTCTTTCTGTGGAATACTTTATTGATTCTTATTGAAATCAATTCATTAAACGGAATGCACATTGAAGCAAAGATAACAGTTTCAAAACTTGCACTTACTTTGAACTGAAAATTGTCCACCAGATGCAGTTTGAAGGTAAGTTGGATTTGGTGGAAAATTTGAAAAGACGAGTACTAACTGACTCGCTAGAATTAAAACCAGTTCATGTGACTTTAACATGTTATTTTATTATATAAAAATGTTATCTGAAATCCATTACAGATGTTTTGGTCTCATGAATTAATGCAGTCACTGATCGACTTAATTGATTACCCCGAGCAACTACCTAGATACACCCCATAATAACAGTAAATCAAATGGACTCAACAGCCCACGGTTCCATCTCTTAAATGCTTTTTCCTTAAAGTCACTCCAATTTCATATAGCTCATCCAGATAACAATATTCATATCTATTCCTATTCTAAAGCTTGAGGGTTTCGTTTTAAAGCTGAAAAAGAAAATGGAGTTTTTCGTCCTATATGTCTCTATCGGAAACGTAAAACTCATGAGTACTAAAAGAGAAATTTTGCGAGCATTCCTTACCGATTGTTAATATTGCTGATGTTCCTGGCACAAAGAGCCACATTTAATCCATCCCTTAGAATAACTTGTTGCTTTTACTTCGTCACTCTGGAATTATTGTCATCTACCAATGTCAACCATAATGACGTGAATGTTGATCTAAATGTTTCGTTTCATGTCTAACTCTGTGGGTAACAACATTTACTATATTAATATTACCCATAAAACATGGTGGCGGGGATTTGATGCGCATAAAAGGTCAGTTGTCTAAAATGACAAGATTACCAATGTTCGAAATATGGCCTACTTTCTTCGCAAAGTTGAATTTTATGAGCACACACAATCACTTTTGTCTATGAAGAAGGCAATTTCCAGACAACTCCCCTCCCCTAAAGGTGCAGACACACCAGCGGATTTGGTCGGAGACTTTTGTCGACAATTAGTGTCTTGTCTTGAGGTTCAACGACTGGCATGGGCACACAAGGAGACAAAATTCTCCAGTCGATCGTTTTTCATCTTGTCGATAATCACGTGCGGAGCATGCAATTGAAAGGAAAATGGATCTGATTGGATGATGACGGTCTGTCTTGCAGACGACAAAAATATCGAAAACATTTATCAAACTTGTTTGATATTATAAATCCTGTCGGTGACACGATAATCTTGTAGTGAAACCACGGGCATACGCGAGATTTTACTTAAGATTCGAGTCGGCGACAAAAATCTCCAACCAAGACAGTTCGTGTTCCCGCACCTTAAGACTCATTCTAAGACTGGCATTACTGTTTTATATCTACTGTAAATTACATTTACCAACGAATGTCCCAAGACAGTAAAAAAACAATTCAAATACCGAGACAATGATATTAATGTTTTATTCATACACTTTGATTTCTATAGATAATATGATGATGATGATATTTTTATGATAGTTTTAGTAGTAATCTCGTTCAAAATAGTTGAAATCTATTAGAAACGCGGCTCCTAGTAATATAGTTTTCTTCATTAAATCTGTTTTTTTGGGAACTGAAAAGATAAACAAAATGCATTTCAATTAAGTACAATGAAATTAATTAAGGTGCGGAAACCCGAACAGTCTTGGTCGCCTATTTTGATACTCGAATCTTAATTAAATCTTGAGAGTGCCTGTGCCTTCAAAACAAGATTTTATCGTTTGGAGGACAGACCGTCATCATCCAATCAGATTCGTTTTCGCTGTAATTGCATGATCCGCAAGTGATTTTCGACAAATGGAAAACGACCGACTAGAGATTTTTTGTAACCCCTTGTGCCAGCACCCGGTCGGTAAAACTCGTCTAACAAGACCGTCTGTGTGCCCACATCTTTAGAAGCTGATTGAGCTGTAATTCAAAAAAGAAATAAGATCCTTACTTGTTATTGAAAAGTTGTTTGCTTTGAAAATTGCATCCCTATAACCTTGCCATTGTTTAGTAATCAGCCCAATCGCTTGAGCTGTTTTATGCTCAGCATTGATTATCTACAACAGTACAGAAAAAGGCCAAACGAATTAATAATTATAATTTATATATCGCGAGTCATTTTCGCAATCTTTTGAGACAGCAGAAAATATCCAATCGCTGATAATTTTTGGATTGGTCTAGTTCTTGGACAATCAGATTCATTGGAACAAAGCGATATCAGTGTTCCCGATGATTTTTACAGTCCCTTGAAAGAGGTGGTAAAAATTTTGATCAAAGTTAATTGTGTTCCTATTATACATGCAGTTATTTCCCTTCGTTCAGTCATAAGAATTCGTCAGCTTTTGAGTGATATTGTTCGGTAAAATTGTCCGTCATTCTATTTAAAGCCCCACACCGATAAGCGAACACAACAGGGGTCCAGTTTAAAGGGGCGTGTTCGCCATCTGTTTGACCAATCGTACCTAAGCCTCAAAAATGGGAAATTGTTTTTACTAAGCTTATAAGTAGCCTCATAGTGTACACAGCTCACCGTCAAAATCCATGTGCGTATAGAATTATCCGCGTTTGAAGTGAAAATGACAAGTCGTCAATTTAACTTTCATCTCTTACGCCAGTTTCAGAAGATTGTTTTCATTTATTTGTAGACGAAGGCGCCGTAGGGTATCCTACTGAAGGGTAGCCTTAATTCAGTTATTCCTGAAGTCCATAGATAGTATTACAAGTGCAATAAATATTAACTTACATTAAAAGTGATGTCCACACAACATTTGCAACAACCGGAATTACCAACAACAGTGAAAATATGTATACCGTCTCTGTCATATACATTATATGTGGGATTTAAACAGAACAATCTAAAAAATATAAAACAGTTCATGTTTTGTTCAGTCTAATTAAAACTAGACCAAAGCTTTTATTTATTTTTTTTTTTTTTTTGCCATTTCCAGCCAATCAAATTTCTCCCCTCAAAACGCCGGAATTTTGTGACTCGAACAGAGGTTGCATTTGGCGTCTAATGCTTCTCGGTATACCCATTTTGTTCGCGTCACAAAATCCCAGCGTTGGAGAGGGAAGGAATTTGATTCGCTGGTGGTGTCATCAATCAAACGAATATTCAAGAACGTCTATTTAGACCCTGACTAAAATGGCTATATTAAGAATAAAAGCTAATAAAATATGAACGAAAGTTTTGTCTAATTTTAAAAGTCATGATGAAATACCACAAGAAGAAAACCAAAAACATCTGGATCTGCTTTTAATCATGGCCTATTGTAAATTAAATTATTGGATCATAAAGTGTAGTTCATACTAAGCTATTCAGTTAGAAAACTGAAATGTTTATAATTGCTTTCCCTGGGTACTCCAAAGCATGTCGAGACATTGTAGGAAGCATGTAGGGAAGAGAAAAGACTTCTATATTTATAGTTAAAGGGATGTAGCCCGAATCACCAACCCATACCCTGAGTATAATCACATCATAAGATTTTAAAAAGTCTTCTCCATTAAACTATAGCTGTTGTGTAATACCTCTGCGGCATATCGTTAAAATGAAATGGTTGCAAAAATAGGACATTGGTTAATTGTCCCTCTTTTTCCATTTCAGCCACACTGATCGCTGATCTACATTATCAAAGAAATCAGTATAAAATTTATGTTTGGACCAATATTTGTTTCTTACCTGCGAGCATGCATCTAAAGCGATTGTAAAGAGGTATTAAATTGTTTATGTGTTTCGGGGACAATGACATCGAATTGCACCATTCCAGTTTTCAATCAGACGTTTGTGGCTCCTGTAATAAAATTGATTGTTCAATGACGTCACTAATCATATCATGATACAAGCATATTTGGCGATTAGTGACGTAATCAAAGACTTAGTTTTAGTGGAATTGCAGGAACCACAGATGTCTGATTGAAAATGGGAATGGATAAAATTGGTGTCCCCTATACACATATAATACCTTAACTCCTTGAGTCGTTGCATCAAGATCGTTAGAAGCAAACTACTTACTGTTTTTGTACATATCCGATCATTCTTTCCGGTGGACTAAATATCTCAAGTGATTGACAACAACGTAGACCACATGAACGGACTAGCTGAACACAAGGTTGCTCAGTAACTGAATCGTTGATGTGCATAATAAATGGCCGATTTGCTCCACAAATTAGACTCGAACATTCTTCTTCTAAAACAAAATCATGTATATTATATATTTTGTCAAAAATTTGGCAAATCAAAATTCATTTAATGTGCAATGTGCCTTGGCATAAGCCTTGTCTTTCCGATTTCCAATTTTACAGTCGAGTACGTTAGCCGTTACAAATAGTTTACGGCTTATTGTATACACTTATTTGTCTCATACGTAACTTTGCGTCGTTTTAACATAGAAATAACAAACACGAACATGGTTGACCGACATTTTAATCACTACGTAAGACAAAATCATTTGAATTTGCAAAAGGGTCATAGATATTTCAACATGTATGTGTATTTTTTCTTTGGCTACATGTATACAAAGTTTTAGAAAACCTAATGTAATTAAAATTTTGTATTTTAGTCATATAAAACCCAAATTTTGATAAAATGAGAAATTGTTGAATATCGAAACCTAAAGTAGAGAACAAAATTCCTTATTTTATCTAGATTCGGGTTTAACATGAAACGCTTTGATTGGTTTAGAATATTACCATCGGAACAGGCTTTTAGAACAAAACTTCTTAGATTACAAGTTAGACTCAAAATATCAGAAAATAAAAAGAGGTTCGAAATTGTGATCAATTTCAATTAGATTGCAGAAAACCCGATATTATATATTTTATTGTATAAATTTGAATCAGCGGAATAATGACGTACCTTCAACAGCAGACAAAAACTCTCTGTCAATTGCATTACAAATACTGTATTCATTCCCCCTCTGTATTTCCGAAAAAACTAGAAAAATAAAAACAGAAAAGAAGGAGAACTGTAGAATATAATGAGAGCAAAAATTCCACTGGTAGTAAAGATTTGAATAAAATTGAAATTGTTTAATAATAATTGCGTCAAGTTTTCAAAAACAGAATAATTTGAATAATTTGTATGGTGTGACGTTGATCAAAATAAAGGTACAGAATGATAGGCCTTATAGGCAAATATAATACACATGCAGGAGATTCAAAACACAATATAACACACTTGATGATTTAAATCTGAAACTCGGGACAGGTTCGCCATTTTCGTGGGTTGATTTGGGTATTAATAATATGTAAATATTCTTCAGAAGTATTAGAACGATAATCGCAAAATACCTATTTCTGTACAATTATGTCTTTTCTATATTATGAAAGATAATTCTGGACACACATGGATTTCGACTGAGAGCTATGGACACTATTACTGATTGGCTCAGCTAAAACAAATCCCCGTTTCTTAGCCTATGGTACGCTTGGTCAAAAGGACGACGAACCCTCCCCTTGAAAGGCATTGTAAACAAAATTGTGTGTATTGAAAACAATTTGAACCTTTCCAATTTTCAGTCAGACGTCTGTGGTTCTTAAATTTTGCGTTGCGTCTGATTGAAAATAGGAATGGTGAAAATTGATGATGTCAGTGTTCCCAATACACATAAAATTTAGAAAACATCTTTACAATCCCTTTTAGCCGTGTCAGCTTGAAGGCCTCAACATAAAATGAGTTATAACCTCGCTGATAACTGAATCGTCGACACGTTAGCGACGAGAATATAAGTCTGCTAACTCAAAGGTTAAATGTCAAAACTGACTTGAGACCCTTGAGATCTCAAGATGTATTAGGATAGTTCAATAATTAATGGATATCCTACCATTAAACCGTGAGTGAATTCTGATCACTTGAAGTGGCGCTAAGTAAGACAACCCTTGAGGTAAACCACTGGACAATGTTAATTTGGGTGTTTTGATTATTGAACGGTACTTAGACGAACGTTGCGGTTGCTGTAAAACTGTTTCCTCCTCGCTGTCAGTGTCACTCATCGTTTTATTTTCTCTTGTACAACTGCTCCTCTTGACGTCTTACTGATGAGGGATGCCGCGATTGTTTTGACGTCACAATCATTCTGCTATTGAGCCTATTATTGTAGATGTAATAATTACAATTAATAAAGACAATAATTATTGTCTTTGGAATCATCTGCCTTGTTGTTTTCTTGTTTGGGATTTTCCTGGAGTATCATTAGCTGCCGACCTTCACGACGATGTTGAGTCCAGGTTCTTGCTAGTTTACTTTGTGTTATCAAAATATATCACAATAAACGCTATTAGATCCCCTTACAAACAAAAACATCGGGACGTAACAGGATAATCACGAATATGCAAGAACCTGAGAAAACCCGAGAACTCAGACGTGTAATGCGAGGACTCAAGAAATGTTTATACATTTAAAGCGATTTTTCTCATTGGACAACATTGTAAAAATTTGAAATAATACAAAAAGCGCACATTGGCTTATATGCTTTCAAAAGGATGGGGAAGCAGTGAAAGAAATGATCAGAAAACAATGACAATTATTTTTTTTCTTGTTATCATTTTTTTTAACCATCCGATTAGATGGCATTGGTTCCTTGTCAAGCATTTGACTCGTCCCGAAATGTGCGAGTTGGAAATCATTATTAAATCTCGATGTAATCATGTAACCTATATAATTATATATAGAGTGTAATAAAATTTAATCAGTGCCTCTTTTCATTGTGTGAAATGGCCGTTTTGGGTCACTGTGTGTGCAAGGATCTAAAACTTGAAGCCACTAGCGACGGGTTGAGATGTGTCGCAGTGGCGGAGCCAAAGCGGGCAGAGGGTCAGCCACCCCAAATAGATTTGAAGGCTCAAATTTCGACGGTGAAGTGTGAACACTATATTACTGATTAGCTTGGCTAAAAAAAAACTTCCGTTTCTGAGACTACGGTAGTGAACTGTCTTTTGTCTTTTGTTCGAGGGGTGGACAAGTTTAACCACCGTCAAAATTTACCTTTGAATTCTTGTTATTAAACAAATATTATTTTTGTCGTATATTTACTAGGCCTATACGACGCACCATTTGTACAATGACTGTTCATATTTCCATATTATTTTTTTTTAGATATTGCCCCTGACTAAAGCCGGACGTCCACTTGAGAGTTTTTTTTCTGTGAGTCTTCACTCTCAGTGCTCCTTCCATTTGAGAGAAAATCACGCGCCGCAGTTCTATCGACAGCTGGGTTCGGATACTTGACATTTTATAGGAGACCCCCTTCCACTTGAGAGAAATCGCTCTCAGCAGTTCCATCGAGAGTTGGTTGCGACTGTCCAACAGTTGCTCGCAATTAACCTTCCACTCGCGAGCGAACTCGTGCTATAAAACTTTCAAGTGGGCGCCCGGCTTTAGTCTCAGAAACGTGAATTAGCTGAGCTAACCAGTATAATTGTGTTCACTGCTCACCGTCGAAATTTGAACCTTCAAACCCATGTGTGTACAGAATTATCCGCGTCTGAACGTTAAAGTGAGGAGACCCTTGAGACTGCCATATTATATAGAAATAGAAAGTGCATATATTTCATAGTTTGTGGTATTTTTTAAAGTAATTATGTTATTTTCATCCATTTCTAGTACTTCTGAAAACTTTTTAATATTTAATACCAGAATCAAACACGAAAATCGAATCTGTCCCTTGAAGCCAAATAATAAATCGTTTATTTTGGTGGAAATTGGTATGTTTTTGGATATTGATGAAATCTTGATCTGGTAAGAGAAAGCAAGAAAAACCTGTTGCTGATGAAACTTGAAAGCTGCTTCACCTCTCAACCTAATTCAGCGAGGAAAAAATTCCTAGTTATTGCCCTTGACTATAGTCTGGTAACGACAAAAGGGCCCTTTTAAATCAAAATTTTGTTGATTAAATAGATACATAGATGTAAATAGCATATTTTCAGGTATAATTTACAACATTTTTCATAATGAAAATTGTGCATACTGTCCCCAATTTTATTGAGGCAATCTTTAAAAAATGTTTGCTACTATGACAAATGAAAAAAAAAGGTTAATTTTAGGCTAAAGCCAGTTTAATGGTAAAAATACAATTTTCGTTCTACTTTTGGATCACCATTTTAAATCTTCATATTTGCTCTACATATTTCTAATGAATAGGTAAATATTAGAAAAAGGTCCGACAAGTAAAATAGATTAGACAGGGCGAGTATTTATCCAGGGTAAATATAGTTGTTTTTCAATTCTATGTCATACTTTCCACTTGAGTACCTTCATTATAAAGTAACTTACTCTTTTTCTCTTAAATGGAATGTAAAGATGTTTTTTATGTGTGTCTGGAACAATGATAGCATCAATTTGCACTGTTCCAATTTTTCAATCAGACATCAGTAATTAAACTGAAATTATGTGTTTGATGACGTCACAAATTGCATAATGTTATGCTTTATCACAATATAAGGCCCTTCGCAATTAGTGACGGCATCAAACACTTAGTTTTAGTGGAATAGCAGGAACCACTGATGATGTTTTCAGTGTCCCCAACCCACATAACAAATTTAGAAAAGAATTTACAATCTCTTTATACGCGATAACTGGTTTGTAATTTTCTCTTGTGGCCTTGGGTGATGGCATTTCTCATGCAATAATATTGAAGAAGGTTAAATTACAAAATGGATGACTTAATTTTATGTTGTATTACACAATACTGTCGTGTTGTAGTCGAAGTAGCGATAACAATTTTCACTACATTTAATTTTATACACGAAAAACAAGAAAATTTGTTTCATTTATTTCACGCCATTGGACATACTTTATCTGAATGCACCTTAGTTTCTGACTTCATACTTGAATACATTCAATTTCCTCAAAGTTATGATTTATAACTAAGACTTGGTAAGCTATAAAGTCAACATGAAATGCTATACAATGGAGTTGTATATCCTACTTTCCTGTTGACGATTAGGATAATAAAGATGGACAAAGCCATGCAATAAGGGAAATAATATTCTAATTTTAACTTTAATTAAAGATATGTCTAACGTTACGACCTTTAAGAGACGATGCATCAGTAATGTTTTGAAGAAGCGAATCACAGTCTTATTATATGTAAGGATCGAACCAAATACATACTTCCCCTTGTGCTACCTTGTTCCCCACACTACTTGAAAGCTGCAAGCTGCGACCTCCTCAGGAACAAATACTCCACCAGCACAAATTACATCAGGTAATCGAGAAGATTCTTAGGCAATTTATATCGAAATAACATATATGTCATGTTTGCAAAAAACAAACATAAACCTGTTTCTCTTGAGAACCATTGAACTTCAGTAGTTCAGAGTGCTTCATATTAAAATCAGTTCAGCTTCAAGTCTCGACATACTTTTTTCTTAATGGTTGCACTATTGGGCTCTATTAAACTAAAGAAGTACATGAAATTTTAAAATTCTATAAATTTATTCATACACAAACAATACATCATGTTCAATACTTGAGAAAGCAGAAAATATAAACTGTTAAACATAAAATATAAGATAATAATGGTATTTCTAATATTGTATTATATTGTGATAATGTCATGCGTGTTATTATTATGTCGTGAAAGATGAGATAATATTAACCAAAGAACATAAATAACCTATTATACTCCTAATCGATCTTATGAAAAAAAACATTATCCATAACTAATTGTGATAAGGCTTGTGCAGTGGTGGCGCCAGTGAGTTTTAAAGGGGGTGGGGTGTGTTTGCAACCTCCATTTCATTTGTAAACAATCATTTTTTGTACGTTTTTTGCTTCTACAGATCTGCGACATTTTGAATCTCAACCTTAAAAGTTGTCCCCATATTAGATCAGTGCGCCCCTTATTTGAGCCACCAGTCTCATTGGCGCCGCCACATGGCTTGTAGGAATCATTAACAAGGCTATGTACCAACTATGTACAATACTATTTTCAAAAACCCTGTAAAGCATTAGCCAATCTTTATCCAGAGAAAATCAACTGACAACTCAATGTCTGTAATTTTTGGACGAAAGCTTAAAATCTTGAACAATCTAGAATTAAATCAATCTGATAAATTCATATTATCCACTATTCAGAAGGCACACATGAACATAAAACCAGCAGTTATTGATATAGGACATCAAAAACAGATATGTATGAAATAAAAAAATTTTACACCTTCAATTCTGAAGAGTCCTGAGCCTTTTTTAAAATGAATCTTCAGATGTGTTAACTAATTATTTTAAGTGTATCCAATAAAAAAGAAATGTTTAACATTCATATACAAAGGGATTGTAAAGAGATTTCTAAATTTTTATGCTTATCGGGGACACTGATAGCATCAATTTTCACCATTCCAATTTCTATCAGACGTCTGTGGTTCCTGCAATTCTACTAAGTTTTATGACGTCAAAATTTGATTATATCACATGGGACCTTTGCCGGGGAACCACAGACCACAGACGTCTGAAAGTTGGAATGGACAAACAAAATTTAACCTGAAACCCTTAAACTCTTATGTGTATAAACATTTGTATGAAGTTCAACAAGTGTGGTTAATATTAATATTATAAAAATTGGTGTGATAAGTATGTTATTAAATATGCAAAATAACATCAGGTTTTTCAGGGGGCAAGCATTCCCTGACCTAGAACTGAATGATTAAATCTAAAAGAGTGACCATGGCACCATCCTTTTCATTTGATGTCTTTAATTCCTGTTATTCCTGAGAAACTTTATGATGTCATATTATATATTGCAAAAATATTTTGTTTGAATGGTATTTGCTATGGCAAATTCAGGGCAAAAAAAATTAACTTTTAGACCCATCAAAAAGGAACAACATATTTTCACACTGCTTTTCTCTTGCCTATCCCATTCAGCTTTTCCATGTAAATATCATCAAATTATCAACAAATATATTATGAAATGCTTTTATAAAATGTGCAATCAAAAATTCTTCATGAAAAAGGACAATTTAAGTTCACTAAATTTAAACATAAGAGCTATATAGGGAATATTAGTTTGTCATAAACTGACATCATAAATAAGATATTATATGAAATATATTGTAGATAGCTGTTGCCATAGAAACAACATTCAAACCTTGTTGAAAACTGTAACCTTTAACAATAATACAATATATACACAAATATACTACAATGAAATCAAGTCAATGGGAAATTATCTTACATCACTGCTATGATTAGAAAGAAATCATGCAAAATATCAGTGCACTCTATATTTAACCCTTTCTAATAATGATGTATTTGCCTGAATTGGTTGAAAATCAAAATTATTATCAAAACACCCTATCTATAATAACTTATAAAAAACACAAAATAAATGTAAATTTTTGGTGTATCTTGAGGAATCATCTGTAACTATAATAAAAAAAAATTAAAATTGAAGCAACATAAAATATATTAAAATAAATCATTCAAAATCATTTTTGAGCAAATTGAAAAATTGAAGTCTTCAAGTGGAGTGCTATATGTGCTAGTTTACTTTATCAGTTTGAAATATCTACAGTCATCTGTGATTCCAGCAATTCCACAAAATAAGCGTGTTTGGTGATGTCACTAATTGCAAAATATGCTAGTATCTCATAGGCCCTTTGCTATTAGTGATGTCATCAAACACTTTAGATACACATGAAAAATTATGAAAACCTCTTTACAATCCCTTTAAGGCAGAGTTAAAACTGAATGTTATTATGAAAATCGCACCTCTTGTAATATAAGTTATAAGCAAATGAAGTTCATAAAATATTGATCATTATTGTTAATGGAAAAGCATGAATGATATTAGAATGTATAAATAAGTTGATAATTCAGAATTCCAAAATGAAGACTTTTTTTAATTTGTAGCAGGCACCAACACCTCTTAAATCAATCAACATCATAGAAAACAACACTGTCTATAACAATGCTGTCATTATAATACTGACAAATTTTGATCTGAGAGAATTCATGCAATAAGTGTGGACTGAACAGCAATATTTGAACCAAATTACTGATTTAAAGATTCTTCTGATTTGCTACATTATCTTCCTTGAACCTTTAGCAAAATTAAAGAATTATGAACACAATTTATGAAATTAAAAACAAAAATCTACTATCCACCATGTAATACAAAATCCTTAACCCTTTAATTTCGTACTATATCAAATTTTCAAGATACATGTATATTAAACTTTTGAACCCACTGTGATTGTTTTTTGTTTCTATGTGCGATAGTATTCGTTTACATACAGCTTAGCAACAATATTGACCAATTCAGTTCAAATACTATTCCCTTTTTGTATCCACAGTAAATGTAAACTTAATTGCTATGCTATTTCCATTATGGAGGCAGAAGAAGGAGCATACAATAAGTCTAGATAAAAAAAAGTAAAAGTTGTTGTGAGTGACTGATCCACAAAAATGAATCAATTCATAATTTGACTCATGAAATAGATCTTTTACAACATATATTTGTTTAAAGGGAGAGGTTCGCCTTTTTTTGTGTGTTGATTTGGGTCTTCAATTTATGTAAATAGTCCCCAGAAGTACTAGAAATGTCCAAAAATCACAGAATTTCTTTAAAAATACCTCAAACTAAGAATTTCTATTTCTTTTACCATATATTATGTCTTTCCTATATTGTAGAGTCTCAAGATATGATGAGTTGTCTTTTTAACTTTTTAACAAGGATCATTCTGGACAAACATGGATATGAAGGCCCTAATTTCGGCGGTGAGCTCTGATCACTATTACTGATTAGATCAGCTAAAAAAAATCTAAAATTGGTCAAACAATGGCGAATCTGTCCCTTTAAACATTCATTATTGCTCTACAAATGATGTTAGCAATCTTAGTAATTAATACATTGATCTTTATTTACCCAAATGATGACCTGGTGTCTTGATAAATTACAATAATTATTATGAAAAATAATGTTAAAAATGGGAGATAATAATACAAGTAATAATAATAATATATTCCATGCAATAAATTTGGAATGAAGCATCAAGTATGAGCTTTCTTTGGATTTCATTTTCGCAGAAGAATACTTGCTATATAAGATTTGAACGACATTTAGAAGCAAGTAGCACATATATTACACAAGACAATAATTATGGGATAAACACACTTGTAATTTGTGTTGAACCGTTATATAACCATGTATTAAAGTAGTGTGTTTTATCCCATAATTATTGTCTTGTGTTACAAACTTGATACATCTTAATCCAACAGGAAATTTCATATTATTGTACATTTCAGCTCTCAAGGGCTGCAAGTAGAAATTCAACATTCCCACCCCTATATTTGACTGGTTAAGGACAAAATTTTCAACCAATTAGATTGATTGAAATACGATACATCATAATTCCATCATAACTGACTAACATTTACAACAAATTCTTACAAGATATCTGATGAATCATCCCTAAAATTTCAAAAATATAAAATTTGAAGTTATTTGTGAAATATTATTTTTTTGAATTATGTACCTTTTTCATGGAATTGCCCTTATTGGTGTAAGTAAAGGCATAGTCTATCCCTTTGACATTATTCCTTAGCCACCAAGGTCAGGGTAAATTTGACAAGTATCAAAAACTTCATTAGGGGATGGTCAAAATGTAACAGAATAATGGAATAAAAAATCAGTCATTTTTCTCTCTTATTTTTTATTTCTTCAATGACCATAAAATTGATCAGCTATTTTGTGGGATAAAAGTCTCATATCTCTTTACAAGCCTTGATATGACATATTTGTTCCAATAGTGACTTTAATGTTTAAATGTGAAAATTACATGATGAAACTAAGGCTAAAAATAATAAAAAAAAATTGTTCAGAGCTTGTTGTCTGTGCTATGTACACAGTTAGTAAATTATGTTGGTATCATTTAATTGTTGCCTCTGTATTCAAAATAGTTGAAATCAATCAAAAATGTGGCTCCAAATAAAATGGCTTTCTTCATTAAATCCATCTGTGGATTAACTGAAAACAAATTCATACCAAAATATCAATAGCTACCTTATACTTGAATAATCAAATCCATATCAAAAATATGAATTACTAAATTCATACCATCAGTCCGTACCAAACATTGGTATATTAAGAAATGCACTAATGTAATTGAATAATATAACAACAATTAAAACTAGAGCCACTCGTGGCACAGAGTGGGACTTTGCAAATGTAGCAAAATGCAAAAGACCCCGAAAAAATCAACCTTCGACGATAATTGGATCAAGCGCAAGAACAGTCTAAAGTTTAGAAATTTTCATTTTTTAGAAGATTCTAATACCGGAAGTAGACGCCAGACTTCACAAATGAAAGTATCTGCAGATAGCCAAGGTCAATGACCTTTGATCTTGTAAAAGAGAAGGTCTAAAAAGGTCAAGATCAAGAGATATACGTTATCAAAATTTCAAGTTTCACACGACTAAAAAACCGGAAGCTGACATAGGACGGAAAATATAAAAGTATAAATAGATAGCCAATGCCAATAAAGTTTGATCCTACAAAGGTCAAGGTCAACAAAGGTCAAGGTCAAAAATTGAAAATTTTCAATTTCCAAAACCTGTTCCTTTTTTTGAACTATGAAGCGGAAACAACCGAAATTCTGAGACAAAGTGGCTCAAAATACGAGATAATTGTATGCAAAGTTCCATTTTGAACAAATGTATATTTTGCGAGTTATGCCCCTGGCCAAAAATGTCAATAATGAGTAATTTAACCCGGATGTGCCACGGCCACCTCAATTTTTTTTGCATAGGTTAATTGATATTCAAAATGTTACGCTATGTTCCATATGTCAAGTTCCTACATAATAGAGGTCAAAAGATATAGGTCAACAAAAGACAACAAAGGTCAAAATCGAAAAATGAAAATATCCAAATGTAAAAAACCCGTTCCTTTTTTGAAACTATAAAGCTGAAACAACTGAGCTGCTAACACAAACTGGCCAAAAGGATGAGGTAATTGTGTGCAAAGGCCCTTTTTGAACAAACGCATCCTATGCGAATTATGCCCCTCCCTTTAAATGTAAACAATTAGTAATTCAACCCGGATGTGCCACGCCCACATAAGTGTTTTTGTCATAGGTGAATTCATATTCAAAGTGTCTACTTGTATTCCAAATATCAAGGTTCTACATCAAATAGATCATAAGATATACATACACTAAGCTCAAAAAGTCGCAAATATTGTACAAAAAAACTCAAATTTGAAAAAATCACGAATTTTGATTTAAAATAATGATTGTTATATATCTATGTAAAGTACATGAGAAGCCAGTAAGAAACCGAAAAAATTAACCCTCTAGGTTAATTAGGTCACGTGCTAGAGCAGTCCAAAGTTGCGAATTTGGCTTTTTACGGATAGCTACAAAAGGTCAGTACATGTCAGAGGTCAAAGGTCAAAGTATCAAATGGTAGCCAAGGTCAATGACCATTGACCCTATGAAGGTCAAGGTCATCAAAGGTCAAGGTCACATGGTGTGATCGTTTAAAGCTTTAAAAAATTTCAACCGGAAGTTGCAAAAAAGCAAAAGCTAAATTCAAAATTCAGCTCCCAATGTTTTTTGCGCAATCGATTGCAAACTACATTCACATCAAATCTGAGCATATCAACCTTAACCCTGAGGTCCCATTTTGAGTTTTACAAAAGTGTGTTTTTTCAATATGGCGGCCAAAGTATCACTTTCGGTCTGGATTTTATTTTAAAATCGGCCATAAAATTTTATTTGCCAAAGATCAGCCAAATTTTGTTGACCTACATAAATTACACCGGAAGTTATTTAACCGGAAGTTTGAAGTTCAGTCGCTTTTCCTGACGTACAATATTTGACTGTATCATATTATTAACATTAGTGAAGTCTCTTTGCATTAAAAATTTCAGATCAATCGATGCAAATGCAAAAAAGTTGCAAAAAAATCGAAAAATTTGATCGAAAAATGTGAGCGACGAATTTTCGAATTTCGTCATTTTTCAAGTGCTATCAGATCAGAAATTACAGGTAGATTGTAAAAATGAAAACCCGGAGAAAATCGATGCAAAAATTCGCCTTCTAGAGCCGATTTTCGACTTTTTGCACATGTTGAACTGTGGCACTTCCGGTTTTGCAAATATATATTTAAGGAACACGTTGCCACTACAGAAGGTCTAGAGAAGTTGAATGGTTACTGCAACTACTGTAGTCTAGGCTCAGGAAGGTGTGTAAATTTCGAAAAAAAAACAAAAAACAAAAAAAAAAAAAAGAATGGACATTTCGATAACACAATGAAAAAAAAAAATCAAACTAAAATAATCTAAAAAATATTTGCTATACAGGTACTGAATAGATTTTCATACTTTTAAATTTTTTCTCAGATTAAAGCATTAAATTGCCTCATAACTAAAGCTTTGTTATATGTATACTTGTAATAGTTAATAGCATTTTGTGCCAAACTTCAGTCTAATAAAAATTCGACCAAACTTTTGTTCCATTTTTATAATCTTTTATTTTTAATATAACTTTGAAATAACTGAAGTGGCCATATCAAAAATAAAAGCTAATAAAAAAAAAAAACAGAACGAATGTTTGGTCTAATTCAAGCTCAAACTTTATGTTATATAAAATTAATATCTAAAATTAAAAAACAAACTTACATCTTAATGAGAAATCATTAGCTCCACCAAATACTTCTCTACATCCACCCCAATGTTTCACAATTTGACCAACTTCTTGTCCACCTTCATCACCTTCTAAAACCTTTAATCAAATCAATTAAAAATAATCAATTAAAAAGTCCTGATCTTACCATTGCTAAAGTAAGTCATTTCTTTTAAAAATCAATATCCAGGTAACAAAAACTTAATATGAATTTCATAGGCATTTTCAAAGGAAAATATATCTCCTTAATAATTGCTTAACTAGCTATTAGAGCTCAATTGCAGTCAATCCATTTTACCTTTCAGAAAAAAATATGACACCTGTATAGGCAGAAACAACCTAAGTCTGTAAGATTATATATATAACTGTTGCCACTTCATCTGGCAGTTTAAATTGCATACTGGTACAAATGAGATTGAGGTATCTAGGCAACAATCTGTTACCATTTCAAACAAGTTCTTGACATATTAAAACAGAACCTGAAGTATTGAAGTACTACTTGTTTTAATGTCAACATTACACGGTCAGACTTGCTTAAAGAACAAATTCTTTATTATCTATCTTCACTCACTTTTTGGATTGACCACATAAAATGCCTCTTTGGATTTGATTCGAACAAATTAAGGTTTCATAATTTTTATAAAGGGATTCCATATTGAAAATGAAATCTTATAAAAACAAAACGAAAGTTTGGTCTAAATCAAATCAAACTACCCTCTTCATGACACTTCATTCAATAAATCTTAAAGAGAGGCAATATTTACCCTAAAGACCACATCAGCACAGCATTTACAGTAGCAGCAATCACCAACAATGGTAAATATATGAGTTCCAGTAGCATCAAAAACATTATATTTAGGCGTCCAGCAAGTCCAACTAAAAATACAACAAATCATCATGCAGTAAATGCTTAAATTTGTGGAAGTTTACAGCCAAAAATGTTTCTCTCTACACTTCCATGCAATAAATTTGGAATGAAGCATCAAGTATGAGCTTTCGTTGGATTTCATTTTCGCAGAAGAATACTTGCTATATAAGATTTGAACGACATTTAGAAGCAAGTAGCACATATATTACACAAGACAATAATTATGGGATAAAACACACTTCTTTATTACATGGGTACATCATTGATGACAACAGGTGTAAATTGTGTTGAACCTTATTAGGAAATTTCATATTATTGTACATTTCAGCTCTCAAGGGCTGCAAGTAGAAATTCAACATTCCAACCCCTATATTTGACCAAAAATATCTAAAGCCAAAAATGTTTCTCTGTACACTTCCTTAAAGGGACAGGTGGGCCATTTTTTGTACCTTAGTCTCAGAAATGGGGAATTTTTTAGCTAAGCTTATCAGTTATAGTATTCAAAGCTCACCACTGAAATTTGAGCCTTCAAATCCATGTGTGCTCAGAATCATCTGTGTTTGAAAGTTAAAAAGTCCGAAAATTTCCGAAAATGGCCTATCTGTTGAGGTTAAATGACAAAAATTTCATAAAATTAACTATAGCAATGCCAAGCATTGTCAAAATTCTTTGACCTTGTGCAGTCTACATTGTACTTTTAAGTAAGGAAACAGAAGAATAAGTAAGATTATATTAAATGAAAGCTTCAACCTAATTCTTATTTTGCAAGCAACTAAGTCAGACAAAACATTTTCAAAAACTTGTCAGGCAGTTAGTCTTCTGAAGTATTCTCAAGTATAAGTTAAAATTGTTAAAATAACAATATGTCTAACACAGACACCAGAAAAATTGTTTATGAAAATTGAGGGGCAGTAAGCTAGCCAAAACAAAGTTCCATGCTAAATGTGCTTGCCCTAGCTCTGAAAATACCCAATATTTTTTGCAGGCAAACATGTATGTTAGTGGATTGCTATTGTAATGGTGCTTGAAGCTACAAAGTCTTTGGACTGTCTTAAACTTAAGGATTGTATGTGTATGGGGATACTAATGGCATCAATTTTCACAATTCCAATTTTCGATCAAACGTCTGTGGTTCCATTATACAACTAAGTGTAATCACATAAGTCATTTGTGATTAGTGAAGTCCTCAAACACTTATATAGTGAAAACCTCCATAGGTTAAAAAACAATCTTGTAACATTGGTGATTTCAATACTTACACTTCTTTAACTTCACCCACTTTATTTCCAGGTGGACTCTGAATTTCCATTTCTTGTAGATAACAACACCATAAGCAACTACCTTGACAACGGAATGGTCTATGTAATTGAATCAATGGCTGTTCCATGTTGTCTGTTATGTTCATAGTAAAGGGACGAGCAGTACCACAACATTGTCTTGTCATACAATCAGTATCTGAAAATGAATTTTTTTTCAATTTTAACTAAGAATGGTGGACCTTGGTGATGACATGTATAGCTAATAATAGATTATCTGTGTATGGTACAAATGTCAATTTCTAACTCTACATTTACCAGCGTAGGTCTTTTTAAACTTCACAATTTCCTCAGATCATTTGAGGCATTTTTGAACAGTAACCTACAGCAAAAAAGACGAACAGAACATGCAGATCTGCATTGCACTATGACTGGTGATTTAGCCTATTATATACAAGTATCATTTCTCTAGTTATAGTTTATCAGTATCTAAAAATAGTTTTAATGTAATTTCAATATCTTCCAAATTTCCATATCGCTCTACAATTATTGATGCATTGAGCACTATTTTAACAGTTCAAATATTTTATCAGTTCAAATATATAACAGTTTTTTTTACAAGATTTGTCCAACATTAGTAAAGGTATTCTACCTATTGAAAGAATCCTCAAATGTATGAATGATGCAATGAAATGTTGTGTGAAATTAAGGTAACTTTAGCTATTATCTTTAACATTGGATAAATATGTTTATAGTCGTCTTCCTGAGTGTTAAATGCTCCAGGATACCTATTAACTGACATCAAATCTTATTACTGAGGGGACATAATATGATGATTTTTATGGAATACAAATCGTAATATTTGTCCTTTAACATCAAGGCTTTAAGGTGTATCTGCACTTTTCAAATGCCATATAAAGTTGACACAGCCACACATAATTCAGGGACCAAATACTGTATTAATATCATGAAATATTACATTATGGAACCTTCTCACAACATACAAAACTACGCAAGAAAATAAGATTTCAACAAAGCCATTTCTAAACCTTTAAATGTGATTTGATTTGAAAGTCTAGTTGAAATATTATAGCATATATAGTATTACCATGTAAGCTCAAATTTTCAGGTTTCTCCCTGTTAGATATGATAATCTGTGAAGACACCATCGATATCAAGTGAATAAAAAACCCACTTGAGTGATAACGATATCAAATGAGGTATGTATAGTAATATGACAAGGTTATGAGTTTGTACATATAAATCTTAAGGGTGCAATTGTTAATTTCCTCTTATCTTCTGAGAATTATCCAAATGCATTTTTACTGATTATGGTCATATCTATTGTTCAAATAAGCGATAGGGTATAATTTACAATATAGCTGCATTTTGAGTACACAATTTAATCTATAATTATTTTCTGTTTTAGAAAAGTAGATAGTTCCAGCACTAAGCTAAAACCCTAGAAACATTTCATAAAGACGCTTGGTATTATTAGGGTTTTTATTTTTCATAATTCTTATGATTAGTTCTGATAAGCTTATAGATTAAGCATGATGACAGTAATGTAAACAATCTTTTGCCAATCAATCATATAAACTTTATTGTTCTTTTGCATTTGCCAACAATTTTTAAAGATTATCGCTCAAATTTCTTCAACATATTACTTAAATTACCAGTAGCAATTTCTAGAGTGTATTTCACAATTATTTAAGTACAGTTTAGGATCTTTTATTCACTGTACAATATTTCATAATATGTTCTATTTATTACACTCATGGATTTGAAGGCTCAAATTTAGACAGTGTCCTGTGAACACTATTACTGATTGGCTTAACTAAAAAACATCCCCTTACAGAGATTAAGGGATGACCTGTCAAAAAAAATGGTGCACTTGATAATATTGATTTATTGGAGATGGTATTTTTGATTTGATCAAGTAAGTAAACACCATATGAGATAGAGATAATTTGGATCCACTAGAGACTTATGAATGACATTCAAGACTTCACCATGCTGTGTTTTCTGGGCTAAATCTCTTCCCACTATAGAAAGAAATGAAACATTGTTCTACTTCTATGTAAAACTGAGATAAAATGGTAAACAGGAACATCTACTTTACAATAACAAAACTCGGTTTTATTAAACACTATGAGAAAGGATTAAAGGGACAGGTTTGCCATTTTTAACTAGTGTTCCTAGCTCACTGTCGATATTTTCAATTATCAAGGTTTTTTCATCTTGTCTTAAGACTCTACCATATATATATATAGAAAACACATAAGCTCATAATAGAGAAATAACATAGAAATTTCTAGTTTGAGGTATTTTTAAAGGAATTTTGCGATTTTTGTACATTTCTGGTACTTTTGAAGACTATAAATTACATAATATTAAAAACCCGTGGACTTCACACCTCCGGAAATGGCGACTCTGTCCCTCTAATTCACAATTCCTGTTTAGATTAAGGTCACACACTCCCAAATCAAATACAGGATAAACAGATATTGAGGATATGGACTATCCTAATTGTAACATGTTGATCATTTTAAACAATATTCATTTAAATGAAGGAAAGAAACCAAATGTTCTAAACTCTTTTGCAAAAATTTCCAATTTATATTCATTCAATAATTAACAACATAATTATGTAGATCTAAGATCTAATGCATTGCAAATGTTGCTGCAACTACTACAGTTTCTGCAGAACAAGTGACAAAGTGACTGCAATAAATACATATATGAGCAAAATAATGACCAGTGAACCTAAATATAGTCCTATAATCAACCAATCATTTGACATGTCAGCCAATTCAAACCATATCTTCTATCACAGGATGTCACAGTTGAGAAATGTCAATAGTAAACTCTATTGTTAATATATAGTTATATGTCCTTGAACTGAATGGTGGCTTAAGCTACCAACAAAGACTGAAATTTTGAAATCTCAATATAAAGGACACTCACACAAAAACCTGCTGACCAGGTCTAAATAGTTTACCTCATTTCAAGCATTATCTTATAAATCATTATTTAGACTGCACCAGTTAACAGTCGTATACAAACCTTTCAGTCTATATGTTTTAACTGTATTTGACAAACGAAGATAAATACAACTGAATCTTTAAGAGCATAATTTTGACATTATTAACTTAAAGCCGTTTTGTTTCCGCATTCTGGTAGCCAATCTTTACAAATTGATCCAAAAAAATTTTTTTTATTTACAGTACTGATACAAGTGATTCAATAAATGTCTTCTTTGTAGGTTGTATAACTTGTATGCCAAATGCTAGTTAGAAATTTTGTCATAAATAAGTCTTAATAAGCTATAAGTTTTACTTTGTGTCAATTTCATGGTATAGTGTTTTTTAAGTGAATTGAGTTAATTTTAAAGAATTTAGTAAAAGATTCTGAAGCTGTAAGATTTGACCTAGTAGACCTAATTGTAATTGTTAAACTATGGTACCTACCTTCCTTAGCAAACATAAATTGTTGTTCTCCTTCATTACAAATTCTATATCTATTGTTCCTCTCAAATCCAGTTACGACTGCAAAATAAAGAATTACAGAAAATACTTCATAGTCATAACATAACAGTTGAGCTAGGTTCTAGCTTATATTTAGATAACTGTAAGTGTCTGGCATCATTACAGATTAAGACTTGGCCTAGGCCTACTGCATATAAATTATATCAGAATCAATATTTTAATATAAGTTCAAGAAAAATGTTAATACTTGAAGTAAACATACTATGGCTTATAATATAATAATAGCAAAACACAACCTTGACTAGGCTTAGTGACATCATAAATAACCAGCATTTTTCTGCCTTTCATTACTCGACATTAGCCTAATTGACATGGATTAGGCTGTTCATTTGCAGTTCCTGGTTCTCGAAACTTTAGTAAAACATGTTGACATGAATGACATTCAAAACAATTAGTACAAAAGTAATTTTGCCCTATATGATCAAAACTTGGACCAGGGAATATATAACATGTTAGATTTATGTAGGTAAAAGAAGTGTTTACTTTACTTACCTTCCAATAACTCAAGTATCTGATGAACGCGCACTTCGCCAAGACTAGCTAAATACGCTAAGCCTGCTGGAAGACCGTATGGCACCGTGATGGTTGGTGGAGGCCCCATCATTTGATATTGCTCCCCTTTTCCGGGCTGACTGACAACTACACCTCCTGACATTTTGAAGATATTTGATGTTTTCACTGAGAAATTAAATGTTGAGCAATCAAGCCGTTTGTTTACAACAGACTACACCTAGCACAGTGGCGACACCTCAAGTGAAGTAAGGGAGATGATCTATAAACTTTGTTAATCCTCATCCAGACCGCAATTCAAGTATATACCTAGTAACTAACAGCTTTAATCCTTAGTTATGTTTTATATAACTCTTATGTCATTATCCGATCGTCATGTTTAGTTGGTACATTTACTAAAAACAAAAGTGCAAACTGGGAGTTCTTTTCTTCCATTCAAAATAAGTCAAACGCCTGGATATCAAGGATTGTGTGAGGTATACCAAACATAATTATAACATAATATAGGCAGGGCCTATACATCCTTCAAAAGTTACAATTTGTACGTAAAAGTGATAGCAGTTAGGGGGTTGATTTTCAGAAGTAGGCCTACTAGAAATGTATATATATGAAACTCGCACAATTCTCTTCAAACTAAGAATTTTACTCACTATTTCTACATCTACAGTGGTGTAACCTATTTTCGTGGATATAAGGATTCAACACCGAATTTCGTCAAAGTTAAAAAAACGAAATTTTTTTTTATGTCTTAGATGTTTCCTCAGATATTCTACAAAATAATTAAAATTGGTTTATGTCGATTTTCTTTCTGAATCCTTCAAATTGACCCATATTTCATGAGCAACCAACTAGGCAACGGCGGCAGAATGCGTCTCCTATTTTCGTGTACAATGTTTGATCTATAAATAAGTCTAGAAAAACACGTTGTATGGATACCAGGTGGTATAATTAACTTCTCTTAGTATTTATCTTTAATATCAATTCATTATAACTAGTGACAATTCCTTCACAGAACCACGATTTAAAAAAAAATAGTGACTGACAAAAAAAGATACGTAGCATTATTTATTGCTAAAAGTCACTGAAACAACATAAGAATATGGTCCACTTTGAGTTCCATAGAAATTTTCTGCTGACACGGAATCCGCTAGTTGATCACGTGACTTCATTCGTTGGACTACATTCTAGCAGATGACACATGGAATTCCGATTACCGCTTGGGGTTATAAGGAAATTCGGCCGATAAAAAATGGTGACGTTTGGTAATAAGTGAAATCCGCCATTTTGTATTTGTCAAAGTATACATTAATACATTTTACCTTGCGGAAACTACTGGATTCATTCTATCAGCTGATATTGTACAGAAAACCCATGTTTATCAAAACAAGTTAATGCGGAGGTCGCGCAAGGTCGCTCATGTAAATTATTAAACATTTCCGGAAATCCACGAATAATAGGTTTCCACGAAATTAGGTTACCTGACTGTATATATCTTTGCTGTATGTCACAGAGTATTTGAAATTGATAAGTCGATCGCGGAAAATTCTCGATACACGTGGATTTGAAGGATCAAATTTCGACGATGAGCTGTGAACGCTATAACTGATTGGCCTAGCTATGCCAAAAAAAAAAATCCCGTTTCTGAGATTAAGGTATGACGGGTCCAAAAAAATCGTTCACCTGTTAATATTGATTTATTGAAGATTAAAGGGATTATCACCACTGGTATTTTTGATTTTACCAAGTAAGTAACCATATGAAAATAGAGATAATGTGGATCCCCTAGAGACTTATGAATGACATTCAAGACTTCACGGTTTTTTTTTTTTTTTTTACTATTACTGATTGGCTTCGCAAAAAATTGCCGTTTCTGAGACTATGGTATAATTGGTAAATAAGAAATAGCCTACATGTCCCTTTAAGATAGCCTTATTTTCATTTATATCTTTTTCCTGATCGGAGAGTTCCATCTTTATGAAATTGCATGATTGCGTAATTTTAATAACCTAGAAATGACGAAAGTCTAACTTTTCGTCCATTATTTTGTGTAATTACAGGAAAACAATCGAACCAAATTGCAATTGAGTGACATCTTACTGGTGAAGAAATTAATAAAACGGTCCCTTTAAATTCCAATCCCATATCATAGATAAGCATAGCAGATTAAAGACTTATATAGTCCAAAAGAAGGTATTTGATGACCTATATACTTTTGATAAGCCTATAACTAGTATATCTGATTAAACCCTATTTTGATTTGTATGCTCAGTGACTCGTCATAAAACATGAAGACCTTCTATATACTATTTTTAGGATATCTATTTGTGACACAATGTAATTCAGCGTTACCAAAACTTCTCGGATCATTTGCTATACAGCATCCCGGATTTACTGCAGTTTTTGTCAACACAACCCGAAGTTCGGTGTCATACAATCTACTTTTATCCTCATTCAATGGTATACCTTTCTCACAAGATGGAGTATACATGGTGAGGGATATCGGCACGCATTTGTCGAAAATCTCGTCAATTCAACCCGAGCTCCTCACTACTAAGGTTACATGGCCAAATGAAGTCGCTCAAGTCCCAGGTAAATAACTTAAATACGTGTGTTTAATACAAATGCTCGTGTTCAACTTAAATAGGCTGACTTTAAGGGAGTGGACAATTCTATATACTTGTAGTCTGAAATAAAAGTTATTGGTGCTTTGTTTGGCTATTGCTTTATTTTCCATGCATGTCATTGCTTGTTATGTCTACGTGAAAGAATTCATAATCAATCATGAAAGACAAACGCAATTTACTTTTACTTTTATAATGATGTTGAAAGTACTTGAATATTGATACCTGGAATTACTGATGTTATGGAGAGTCTATAAAATAATGATATGACCAAGACAAGATTGTTCAAGATTATATTTCTACGAGAAAATTGACATATTGTATTCATTTTTTTGCAAGATTTTGTGTCGAATTTATGCCAATAAGACAATTTAACGAGATAACATATTGCATAGTCATGCAATTGCCGAAGTTTCATTAACGAAAATTGAATAATCGATTAAATGTGAAAATAAGTGGTGGCTCAACTACATGAGTGGGGGCCCGTGGACTTAAATGAGATGTGGCCCATCTCCCGGGCACTTTTTTTTAAAGATATGCCTTACATTCTGTTGTCTGTTAATGGAAGATTTAAATATTTATAGTCTGTAGCACATAATATTGCGTATGGTAGGGCCCCAGTATTAGTTGTGAATCACTTGAATTATATTGTGTGTTAACCTTTTAGATTTTTGGTACCTTTTATTTTCAATTTTGTATTTTTTTTTTTATTGGATTGGGACCCTTTTAGAAGTTGGGGCCCGTGGACTTGGTTTATCAAGTCCCTATGGTAGTTGAGCCACTGAAAATCAGCCAGAATAATTGAGAAAAATGTTTTTTTCAGATTCCGTTTTTGGTAAACAGATGATATCTATTGCTGACGGATTTCTGGTACCATTTAAAACCAAGGGTGCTGTTAAATTGATGGATGTGTCATCTTCGCCTGCCAAAGGTCCTTATGTAATTTCTGATAATGGTGGAGATGAATGGTTTTATCATAAGGTACAATGGGTGGACATGGACAAGGATGGTGATTTGGATATCTTAACTTGCAGAGCTAAGAAACCTATAATAGGTAAGATGGCAGCGAATTTGCCTTTAAAAAGTTTTTGGAAAATGGACGAGACTTGTTGTGAGTGTTGAGCCATTCTCAACAAATGCACCAGTCTAGAAATTATGGTACTTCTGCTTGCTGATATTAGCAAGATTAGCTTTAAAAAAAATGAGAATCTTCGCAGTCCTCCAGAACGATTTTGTCGTAAAGACACATTCAATAGATCATCTTCACAAAGTCAAGCCAATGCTAACTTCTTCTTATACCTTGACTGCAATAGCCATCTTTTCACAATTAATGCTTGTAAATGCTAGATTTGATTGGATTGTTCGCTAGCGAATACTGAAACCATTAAGCTATAACAATGTTTACAGTTTTCTGACGGTTGCTCTGATTGGCTGTATTTACAGGCGTACTATCCAATCTAATGCTTCATTCCGGAAGTATGGAAGTTAAGTGACTATTGAAGGTATAAGACAGAGTTCGTAATAGATGCAAGTCGATACTCTCGTGATCCTTTTTCGACCGCTTTGTTAGATTTAAATCAAATTGATAGATCCAATACAAATCGATTTAAGTGATGATTTGCTGAACCTATACTTCTCTTAATACAAGTCAAAATCGAAGTAATTCTGCTGATATGGTTACCATTGGATTCGTAGGTGCGTTTTCAGATAATAAACTTCCTCTCTCTTTTAATCGTTGCAGGAAAATCAGAAGGTCAATTATTATGGTTGGAGAACCCGGCTGACCACAGCATTCAAAACGTATGGAAAACTCACGTCCTCGCTATTGGTCCAGACGTTTTCTTCAATTATGTAGAATTAGACAATACAGATTTTATTTTCACTTCTGGGTACTTTTCTAAAGTTTTGAGTGTTTATTATTTATCATCCGGTAATAAATGGACAGATAGCTCTCTGGTAAGAATACATTTTCTCTCAGAAGTACTTCTGAGGACTATTTTCATATATCAAGACCCAAATCACACCCCTACCCCCAGATGGTATAAATCTGACAATCTTGAGTATATTTTAAGCAACCATGATCTGACAGCTGTTGCTTTACACCCGATAAACATCAACTTCCGAAAAGTAAGTTTGAAGTAAAATTTCGCCCATTTCTAACGGGTAATATGAGCCAGCAAAACATCGCTGTATTGTCTCTGACCCAAGGATGTAGTAGTGCAAAATTGCAGATCTGTTGTAAAAGCATTTAATTTTAATGTTGTCTTTAATTGACGTTATATTTTACTGTAGGTACAATCCCGTGCTATTGATAGTACTATTGGGGAAGTATTTGGTGTGACTGCTGTTGACATCAACCAAGATGGTCGACCAGAACTATTGGTAACATCTAATAATGAGAAAGGAACAAGTGGAACTGTACATATTTATAATGTACCATCTGACGTGAGGTATATCAATTCATTAATGGTTCTTGCAGTTCCACAAAAACTTAGTGTTTAATTATGTAGCTTTGGCAAGGACCATTAAATATTATTGAAACCTCATAATTCAAGGTTAATCATTTCTACAATTACAGGAACCACAGACATCTGACGGAAAATTTGAATGATGCAAATAGTATTCATAATTAATGGCCTCAGTACACATTAAAAAGCTGAAAAAGTCTTGAGGTGTGTACCAAAACCCAATATACCGCAGTAGAGAATATACACACTCTGTAAAACACTGGGCGTCGATTGATTGTTTCATCTGCAACTGTCATCAATTATTAGAATATACAATGATTGAATTAAGCACACAGTTTCAGAATGGATATTTTAAGCCGTCTTTTTTTTTCAATGTACATTTCAGAAACGGTAACTATGCTCGATACACTCTCTCGTCATACTTTACTCCCAGAAAACAGGGACAAGGTAAAGGAGCACCAGGAGCCGCAGCTGCAGTACCATCATCTAATAAGTAAGTTGGAAGTCAGTTTTCATTTGTTTTAGTCTATATGAGGACATAAACAGAAGGTTTATAATGAGATATTTAGTCTCTTTTTTTATTGTGTCTTTTTAATCAGCACAATTTAACTGATATTTTCTGAACGAATTTTTGCCTTTTTCTTGAATGCTCCATGATGGCGTTCTATCGTGGCATAATTGCTCCAAGTGATTTTGTCAATCTTTTGTTGGACATGATTCGGTTAAGATATCTTTAGTCTGCTTTCTCCTTGTGGTTCACAGAGTCATCGATTATGTAAACTTACTTATATAAGTTAATATTCTTAATCTATCATTTTCAGAAATAAATCATTGGATATTCTGTTGTCTGGTGATGACGATGGCAGAGCTTATCTTCTATCATCTACGTCCACAGACCCCAATAACTGGTCTTATAACACCACAGTATTCGCTGATCTTGGCTCTGGTACAGTAGGACAATTGGCCTTCCACGATGTTGACGGTGATGGTGATTATGAAATATTCGTACCGGCATATAGCGCTGGAAAAATGAACGTTTATACTTGGCATAATTAAATATTCAGTATTAAATATTATTGTTTTCATACTCTATAGCGGGCATAGCTTACTGTTTTATTCTTTCAACCGTACGCTTCGTAAACAATTGAATATGGCGCAGTTACTTTGGTTGGTGCCTGAAATTTCAGATGTAGGTAACAAGAGTTATAAGATTGTTACACATGGTCGGTCAAGGGGTCCCCTCAGAGACAGAAACAGATCTGGTTCGCTGTACTAACCACAATAATCTGAAATTCCCTACAATTATCTGAGAGCCGCCACATTCATGTGAGACAGCATCTATCAAACGTCAAGCTATTACGAACAGCGTCTAATACCTTGACTGCATTAGCCACCCTTCTTGTTTAACGGAGGGCAGTGATTTGATTGAATTGCACGCTATACAAGTACAGCCAATCAAAGTCTACTGCTTGTCAAAGGCTCCGATTGTCTGTTTTCAGTTGCGTACAATCCAATAAAATCGAAACATGTACAGACTTCCATGATACAAGAAAGGTGGCTATTGTAGTCAAGGTACTAAATGGAGTTCGCAATAGCTTGGCATTGTGAGGACAGTGTCATCTATAAGCTTTCTCGTAACATAGAATTAAAGGGATTGTAAAGAGAGTCGGGGACACTTTGCAGCATCAATTCGCAACCTTCCGATTTTCAATCAGACGTCTCTTCTTCCTGCAATTCCACTAAAACTAAGTGCTTGTTGACGCCACTAATCGCAAAATATACTTTATCACATAATAAGGACTTCGCGATTAGTGACGTCATAAAATGCTTAGTTTTAGTGGAATTGTAGGAACAGACTGTTTGAAGATCGGGAGGTTACAAATCAATGCTATCAGTGTCCCCGATACAAATACATGTTTTAAAGAAAACCTCTTTACAAATACTACATAGGTTTTATTTTAAGCTTGTTTAGAGATTTACCACGCGCTTCAAATATCAAAGAAATCCCCATTTAAAAGTGTGTTCAGTGTATGCAGGTTAAAAAATTATTTATAGAATGGTTTTGACTTAGAGAATATATAGATTCCTTCCCGTTTAATGTGCTTGATAAATACATACATTCTTAAAATAACAATTTAAATATCATATAATGTATCGTTACTTAATTGCGGCTTGTTTATATTATCCGTATAAAATCGTTTAATACAATAAATAATACAGATGAGGCCACTGGCTTAGTTGTAGTTTCAGTAATAATGGATGGAAAGTAATAATGCATTAAGTGATATAGTCGTTGCACTGAAATAAAAATAGCACCAACTCTCAAGCATATTTGGCAACTTAAACTGAAAAATAAAAATTACAAAATATGCTGGTCCATTTATAGCCTATACCATAAAACCAAACGATGTAACCTGTGTCCAACCATCATTAATGCCCCCATGAACACATTCCTAACTCGTCTCGAAGTGTAGAATAAGTACTACTTGTCCAACTTCAGTAGGGACGCAGGCTGAATTATATAGGTCAATTGTCTGAAGATTGTATAGCGTGAAACTCGAGTAACAACATGGTCGTTTTAATATTTCTAGTCGCTGCATTGTCCATTCCATAAGCTAGATGTATCATTTTTCTAATTTAAAGTTTCAGATAAGATATCTTAAGATTTTCACAGATTTTTATTTTTATACTACACACGCAAGAGTACTAAATTCTTGTTTATGAGACCTAAAGGCGGACCTCAAATCACTAGGTTGAAGGTTTATTGATTTTGACCCCTTCCTGCAATCGGCCACCCCTACTCCCCCATTGCTCCTCCAAATATATCACTTGTCTGGGTATACACAATTCTGAGACTAAGGTGCGAATGGTCAAATGGAAGGCGAACCTGAACTTTGAATGGATGGGTATCCAATCATAGACAACCAGTGACGAATTACTTTAAATAAATCCTACATTAAAATTCATTAAAAAGAAATCAGATTGTAATGAAAAATTAAAGGAGTGTATCCCTTTAATACTGAATCGTATATAGGCTTTCATAGTATAGTTCACTCCAGAGTGAAGATAATGGACGTTCTTAAACTGATTCTACTGAATTTTATCGGCCTGAGCGGAATAAATAGTAGATTTATAACCAACCCGTCGCCTTTAGGTAAGTATTGTGGGCAATACGACCTGTCGATTATTTTTTTCAATTTTGATTTTAACAATTCAAGTAACTCTGGAATTTTTTTTTCATTCATAAATTTTTCTGACAATTAAGCTCTTAAATTTTTTTTTTTTTTTTTTTAAATTCTCATTTTCGCTACGCATTTTCGAAATTGGACGTATATAATGTCAAGATCAATTTTGGCAAATTTAACGACTAAATTAAGTCAAAAATTAATTGCATAAATCCCCTCGATTCTCATAAGGTGAAAAAAACTTTTTTCATGAATTCTTTTGATTTCTCATTAGGTGCAAAAATATATTCATGACTCCTGTTGATTTCTAATGAACTAAAAAACTATTTTCACGACACCTCTTTTTTTTTATCAAATGCAAATGCAGAGAGCAGGAATTATTTCTAAAATTTTCTCGAAACGCCCATATTAATTCATTGATTAAAGGTACAAATTCCAAAAATATCCTCAAAAATCGTCATGTTTTCTCACAAAATTCAGAACAATCTTCATGAATCACCCTGATTTTGCACATCATCCAGAACTACCTCCATGAATCGCCTCGGTTTCACATACATCCCAGAACTATCTTAAATTACGTTAACAAGTGACCATATTGACATAGTTCCGGTAAATAATATCTGCCATTCATTACAGTGATATGTTGCAGAGGGCTATAGAAGAACTCTCCCGGTAGACCGGTAGTTTTATACAATACACAACACTTTCATAGTATTGTATGTTATTTAAAAGTTTATGAAATGGAGACGTATAGGTTGAAGCCTAATACATTGATTGAATATTTCAGTAAGTTCATATTGTGGAAGTACATATTATTTTTTAAACGAGACACACCAGTATAAAGACGCTATCAGTCGTTGTATGGCGAAGGGATATGATGGTTTGGCGGTACTTATTCGACCAGAACAGAACCAACTAGCTAAATCTGTTATCAAAACAGAGAGGTATATTATTTTGCTGTATTTGACTTGGGTTAGCCTAAAAGAATTCAAAATAGTTTTTCTGACTTGAAAATTGCAAATAGCTTTCAAGCAATATTGTATTTGTTATAGTGATGGCATTTTTGCTCAAAACGACTGGAATAACATGAGCCACAGGTGTTGAAGCTACTAATAGAAGCTAATGAAGCTATAAAATCAATTCCAGCGGCATTCAACAAAATTGTATTTGTGATACAAAACCTCTTAATAAATTGTAGTATAATATAAGTTATGTTTTGTACATAATATTTCAACAATTTCCGTCAGTTGTGAAGGTAACATGCTAATTAACTATCTAACGGGATAATCTGATCATTGCCACTATAGATTATACACGAAGAGCTTATTGGGTGTCCCCGATACACTTTTAGAAATCCTCTGTACAATCCTAAAAATATTTTAAGTAATTTATCATGGTGCATTTTTACAGTATTTCATTCAATTGCTAGATCATCGTAATACATGCAGAAAATTATACTCGTTCAAAACTTTTCCCCCATTTGAATAAGAAAAAATTTAACCGACATTATACACATTAATTCCAATCACAACATTAAAAGTTTAAATGAGGCATTTGTCTGTTGGACCATTATTTTCTGGGCTATATTTTCAGCAACAATAAAAGCAAAGAAGTGTGGATGGCCTTGGAGTACCATGAACCAGTCTGGCAGTGGAAAAGAGACGATGTTTGGCTTAATGTTAAAAGTCAATTTAATATAAGCTGGGCCAATAACGAACCTAACAACTTTGATAAAGAACGATGTTGTCGAGTAACGTACAATCCTACAACAAATCCACAATTTCAGTGGAGAAGTATACAATGTACTGCTAGAAACTATTTTGCTCTCTGTCAAAAAACAGGTCAGTTTAATATAATAATATATCTATATCGTATCAATAATACTATTAGGATATTCTTTACCAGCTTATGGAACTGAAATGTAGTCTTTTCCGGATTATACGTGATACCACTCGAACAGCCAGGCCTGATTGTTTTGGGGAAGGTAGGTAAAGGGTGGCAATATTCAAAGAAGATTTCACTCAGCATCAAAAGTTTGCTACCATTTCCTCGATAAAGGAAACCATAATCTGACTTCAATATCAATATTGTGATGCAAATGAAATAAAACGAATGGAGTTTTACGTCCACCTTTTCTTCACCATGTGGGCTAATGGAAACGGGCAACGCATGCAGAGTGCAATAAGGGAAATTTTTCCAGGACAGCGGCATTGGCCTGCTCTTTTATCGCTTTCCAACTGTCAGGGGCTCTTGAACTTACACAACCTGAAGCACACGGGTCCTCGGTTTATGGTCCCATACGAACGACTTGACGCTTTTTCCACGCCAGCCTCTAACCTGCATCACTGACGGGGAAACCGGGTATTTTCTCGACTTATGCTGGAATTGAGCCCTAAACCTTCAGGTTAGCGAGCGAGCGTCCCCAATATTGTGATGCAAAATTAAAACAATATCATAATATACATGTATCAGCTATGTTTTATAATATATTTGACGGGCTCTATTACACAGTCGGTTAGACAGTTAGAAACTTCATTTGTTTGGTTACGTCGAATAAATACTGGTTTTTGGTTCTAATCTCGGTCAACAAGTTTGAAAGTCTGTTAACGTCGAATAAATCATCTTTCCTCGTTATTTCAACCGACCCAGAACCAGGAGTATAATGGGTGCAGATAATCCCAGAAAGATCAACAGGTTTGGTCAGACCTAATCTGATCTTATATTTCAGAATTACCCTTCACTCGACATTCTCTAATGGAGTTATATTGGTCTAATGGTACAGAACCAACTGGTACAGAAGTGTACATGGTGAAGAGCGTTTTTGAATGTATGTTTCTCTGCTTGGAGCAATGTACCTGTACATTCACATATCATTGTGCTGGTACCTGTCACATTGTAACAGGGAATATAACAGCTATGAAGCAAAACATTGGACCTGGAACTTACTATAAAAAAACTTAAAAAACTGAAATGAATAAATTTATGCTATAATCTTGAATTAAAATAAATATATAAAATGTTTTTGAGATGTTTACATGATATAGAGCGTTCAACTTCAATTGTCGCAGCGATAGTCTAGTAACATGAATAAAAACTGTTTGCATAGCATACTGTCTTGTCTGTCTTTCATTTGATTTGAGCAATATTGATAATATTCAAACTCCCTTCTTTCACCATTTAAATTGATCTTGATTTTCCTCTTCCTGTTACAGCACTTTTAGTCTCAGACTTTTTCCCCAAACCAAAATATAAGCGATTTTCCTCTTGAAATCAAGGGTGCAACTTTAAAGTCGAATTTCTCCAAAGTTTGGCAAAATTTCAAATTCCTGTTTTCTATTGAAATAGACGGAGGAAATGATAAGCTTTCATTACAAACAAAAATTGTACCTCTCGGGTCAAAATTGGTCGAGTTATGGCCATTTTAGTGAGGGGGTGGGGGTCGGCAGTCCGCCTATAGAGTCTTGTTGCACTGGTTGGGGTGAAGACCAAAACTTTAACAGGCTGTCGTTCGAAAACTATCAGAGATGTAAAGTTGAAATTTGCACTGAAGGTACACACCTATTGGAAGTGGTTATGTTTCAAATTTCAAGTCCCTACTCTGCCAGTTGCAGTATTTTGAGTTTCAGATTTTTTTCCCGAACCAAAATATAAGCAAATTTCCCTCTTGAAAATTCGGGTGGAACTTCAAAGTCGATTTTCTCCAAAGTTTGAAAAAATGTCGAATTTCTGTTTTCTACTGAAATAGACGGAGGAAATGATAAGCTTTCATTACAAACAAAAATTGTACCTAGCGGGTCAAAATTGGCCGAGTTATGGCCATTTTAGTTCAGGGGTGGGGTCGGCAGTATGACTATAGCGTCTTTCTGCACTGCATTTTCAATGGGATGAAGACCGATGTTTTGGGTGGAACTTCAAAGTCGATTTTCCCGAGAGATTTCAAAATGTCGTCAAAATCCGTCAAGAATTGTGCCGTCTAGAGTGTTTTCGAGCTAAAAATGAACACGTTTTCAAGAACAAGGGCAATAACTTATACTAAATATTTTTCGATTCTTCTGATTTTCAATAGGGTTCATCCTTGGGTGAAGTTTCATTAAAATCCATCAAGAATTGTCCCTTCTAGAGTGTTTACGAGCTAAAAATTGAACACGTTTTCAAGAACAAGGGCAATAACTTATACTAAATATTTTTCGATTCTTCTGATTTTCAATAGGGTTTATCCTTGGGTTATTACGAACACTCATACCGAGTTTTGTCAAAATCAGTCAAGAATTGTGTTTTGTAGAGTTTGTTATTTCGAATGAAAAAAAAAATTATTTTGTACACAATATATGGCACACATTTGAAAAATTCACTTTGAAGAATGAATGAATGAATGAATGAATGAATGAATGAATGAATGAATGAATGAATGAATGAATAAATGAAAACAATTCGTCTCAACAGTTTTCGGAGGAAAAGTGTTCTGTTACAACTTTAAATAGGAGGGCATTCAAGCGAATTTTGACCCGAAATTTGAACGAGACAAAAACGAAGTCGATGTGTTAAAAATCTAAATCTGGGTTAGAATTTTGTCATATCCGAGAGTTCAACAATTAAAGAGACAGTATGCAAAATTTTCACTATCAAAAACGTCATAATAAATTATACCTGAAAATGTTTCTAAATTATGCTATTTAGAATTATTTACATCTACTTGATCAAGCTGAATTTGTTATAAAAGGGCTAATTAAAAATGCAGTATACAGTACAACTACCAAAAAAATGAGAATTGTGTCGGTGGTTTTATGTAATTCAACATTTGCATTATGAATTAGACGTATTATGACATAACTAAAAGAGGTATTTTGTCTTTGAACATTGCACGGATGTATCGTGTCGTATGTATTAGACATAAGTACATAGAATCTAATTCTGAATACGATTGACCTCAATAACATAGGGTCTATTAGATTTCAATCTGGATATTTCCCTTCTGTAGTTTAACTTCACAAAGCGTAAAGTCGTACAGTATCAATGAATATTGCCAATAAAATTCATGCTTGCAGTAGGCCTATTCGTTGTTAAACTATTGATGTGTATGACGGCCATTTTTCTATTTCTACAGCATGTGGTGAGAGTCACAGTGGATTGTCATAGGCCTACACGGTTGCTCAGTGATTGTGCTAAGTGTAAGCTTTGAGTTCTTGAATACCGATTTTTTTTAAGAAATGCGAATAAAATTTTAAAAAAGAAAGGAAAGTTGCAAATAATTAATATCATTGATCAGGAAAGTGGAAATTATAGCATGAAACTGATTTCTGTAAGTAATCTGAAAATGAGCCATCCTCTTTCGCAAATAAATTAGCAAAATACAGTTACTTATGTGAATTTTACCGTGGCCCATTGGGGACATTTGCAATTTTTTTATTTTTCNACNTTTCTCANT